CTTGCTTCATTTGAAGAAAAATAAAACAGTAACAGGAAGTGCAAAGCTCTCAGATCGGATGCCCGCCCACCGTGGTGTACAGCCACACACCTCGGCTGAGGGACGGTGCAGAGTGTCCCCCTGGGCAATCTAGAAGGCTTTGGAGTCAGAAAGCCTGGGTTCCTCACACACCTCACCACTTAATCTACCTAGGAAACACACCTGGCACACAGTAGGTGCTCGATAATTATTTGCCTAATGATAATATCCTACCTGTGAGGTCTTGGACAAGTTACTTAACCTCACTAAGCCTCTGTTTCCTTATGCAGAAAGAATAATGTTATCTGCACCCCAAAGGATGCTGGGGCTAAATAAGAAAATGTAAATGTAAACACTTAGGCACAACCTTTGGCACATATAAACTCTGCCAAAACGTATCATCGCTTTACTAGGCTTCTACACAATGTTACTGTTAGCCCATCCTTCCGCCTTCTCCCCAGGCCACACAGCCCCGTGAGCAGCAGGACAGAGCACCGTCCTAGTCCCTTCCTGCCCCTGCTCACGTCCCTCTGAATCAGGAACGTCCAGCGGGAGAACAAAAGGCCCCAAACTAAAGGATGTACACCAACAATCCACACCAGGGAAACATGTCCATCGAGAGCATGGACAGAAGCAGTCCCTGAAGCAATGCAGTCACACAGCCACAAAGTCCCAGTTTCCGGTTTTCAAAGTAGCAAAAATGCACTACAGTGTTGGCACCTAATGCTGTGAAGTGTGAAGAGACTGGCAGCTGTCACACTGCTGGCCACGTGCTAATTCGGAACACAAAACGCCTGCTCCAGAAAGCCCGTAACCGCAGGCCCGCCCTTTGGCCCACTGGCCCCAAACCAGGAACTTACCCCAAAGAAACAAGTAGACAGAAAACATTAATGGGGAATAGTCTCAAAATGCACTTACTACAAGCCCAAAGCTTCTCGTTCTTTCTTTATAATGAATAAAGAAACTCACTGCAAAAAATAAAGAAAACCTGGTGACCCCCCCAAAAAATCTAGTAAATTGTAATAAATCAAGTGATAGAATATTATGCAGTCATTCGACAGGATGACCAGGAGATGAAGAACAAAAGGATGACAATGAAATAACATTAAGAAACCAGAATACAAATAAGCACATTGGTAACGGCTACTACGTATTAATTCTTGGCTCTGATCCAAATACTCTTCTAAGAACATCACAATTGATCTTCACAATGACCACCCGAGATGGGTGTGCATCCCAGCTTCTGTTTGGACAAGGAAACCAGGCACTGAGAGGTTTAAGACCACCCAGCTGGAACTCGAGCCCAGCCAGGCGGCCTGGTTCCAGGGTGTGCCCTCCTGGCTCTGAGAGAGCACAGTGGCCCTCAAGCACCAGGCACGCTGCAAGTCTGAACAGGTGCAGTTCTGCCACCCACAAGCCGGAGCTGCAGAAGTGGAAAGTACCTCTGAGGCAGAATTACAGGTGTTTTGGTGTGCTCAAACTGTCTTTGCTACTTTACTAGATAATTAAATTTTCATAATGGCTTCCTTGCTTTACTGAGGTACTGGCAGGCCTTGTAGGAAGAGACAGCATTCAAGTGGGTCTGGTCACATGACCTTCTCCTGGGTACTAAACAATGATGAGGACACATGTTCTGAAGTCCCAGGACAAAACCCTTTGCCATTTCCAAGACATCCCAAGGCAAAGGCTGCTTGGAAGACTTGTCAGCTACCCCAAGCACCAAGGACTGAACACACCAGCTCTAGCTGGAGGACAGAGCCCAGGCGGCCACCTGCACAGACTAGTAAATGAAGCAGAGAAGCCACCTGGCAGATGTGAAGGAGACGTTTGCTGCTTCGGGTACCGTAGAGTTGGGGTTCCCTTGCCAGGCTCTCCAGCGTCTGTGAGAGTAGAGCTTCTCTGGAGTGGGGCCCTGTGTGTCACATGCTGGGACGTAATTCTCCACCCATATTTGGGTCGCTCTTGGACCCCGCTCCTGGGACTCCCTGTGTTGTAGCTGAATCATATCCCTCCAAAATTCATATGTTGAAGTCCCAACCCTCAATGTGACTGTATTTGGAGGCAGGACTTTAGAGGTCATTCAGGTTAAATGAGGTCCTAGGGTAGGGCCCTAATCCACAGGATTCATGAGAGGAAGAGACACCAGGGATACATGTACACAGAGGAAAGGCCAAGTTAAGGGCTCCCACCACACACCAACCCTGCCCAGCACCTTGATCTTGGACTTCCAGTCCCCAGAACTATGAGAAATAAATTTCTGTTGTTTAAGCCTCCTCATCTGTGGTATGTTATCACGGAAGCCCAAGCACATGAACACACCCTACTTAGCCAGAGAGACACAGGAGGTGGGGGAGGAAGGGAGCACGCACGTCACAATGCCCCTCCACTCCAAGTTTCTAAGAATCCTGGTTTCTCACTCAGAACACACACAGGATGGACAACAATGCTATCCCGTTTTGGCTCCCTGAAATTCACAGTCCCCACAGAAAGCAAACCCCTCACATACACAAAATCCAATCCGCATACACAAAATATCGAGTGTCAAAATATGGACACAGTGGCATGTGTCCTCAGAGATTCGACTGTAAACCCTATATATGTCTCTACTTGCCAAAGATAAGAAATAAAATGGGATTTACATTTTTAGAAAACCGTATGAGTAAAAATGAGAAAAACAGTTACACCCCTGCCATCAGCACAACTCGAGTGTGTTCGGAGCAGCCTCCTTAGTGACAATACACAAGCAAGGCCAGCCACTTCCTCAAAGACAGAAAGTGGCAGAGGAAGACCCACAGGCCGTGATCCCTGTAAACCCCAGAGAGCAGCTGGCAAAGCAAAACGCTCACCTGAGGGGGTGGGACCTCAGCCCAGGGAGCAGGATACCTACTGAGCAGCGTAACGCTGGGTACCCACTGCAATGCATGAAGATGTCTGGACCCCACAAATATGCCTAGAACAAGATGCCCACAAAGGTTGGTCTTCATGTCCCCAGTCCCAGGGTCAAAACAAATGGAAATAAGGCAAAAACCAGCGTTCTTTAGAGTGGATGCATCTAGAGGCAGAGTTAAGTCATCCCTCCACGCCAAGGTGCACCCACATTAAGAGAGGGCACCCCAGGTGCTGGAGAGACAAGGCATTAAATGACAGTGATGAGGGAAGATGGTTCCCCTTCTCCACTCCGATCCTTCTCATTACCTCAAGAAAGCTACCGGAGGTAGCATGAGGCCGGCCTCCACACCTTCCTAATGCTTCTCGCTCAATGACCTCCCTTCTTAACAAGGGTCTCAGTCACAACCGAGGGCAGGCAATGACATGGAGGTCACTCTGTAACACTGTTTCCTTTACATTTTCTTTCTACGGTTACTTATTACTTACGTCAACTCACTGTGGCTCTCCAGTCACAGCAATCACATAAACTTTCCTTTTTAAATAAAGACTTTCAAGTTTTTTAAGCATGTGTTCAACAAAATTACAGGGTAAGTTAAATAGTACTGTGGGTAAAAAAAAAAAAAAAAAAAATGTAACTGAAATTTGAAGACCAGCAACCTTAGTGCTCTCCTAGCCTGGGTGCCCCACCCTGGGTGATCTGTACACATCTGCCCGCTGAACTCCAGGCCGAGGAGCGCCCTGGAAAACTACACGCTCTCACTGAACGAAGTGAGGCAGGTCGTTCCCACCACACACACCAACCTTGCAGTACCCACTCACTTCCTCCTTCACCCTTCAGTCAGAGAACACTGCCTTTCTCCCAGACGCGGCTCTTCCTTCCTTAGCACTGGAAACCCTAATTTGGAGGTGGGGGCACAGTGCCTCCAAGGCCATGGGTCGGGTGTGTACTGGCCATCCAGCTGGGACACGGCGTGTACCTTCTAGGAAGGGTCCTGACTGCTGGGAGGGAGGGTGTCGCCACAGTGGTACTGTGGACCACTCTGCAGTCTGCTGAAGTACATGGGCCTCATCTCAGGAAAATTGTTTCAAATTATAATACACAAAATAAGACATAAGATTACAAAGCAAATTTATTATATTGCAATGGGAATTATCAAAATGTAAAAAACAAAACTGGTGTAACAATATATAGGACTCTTTATTATCACATTTAAAAACTACCATATTTTCAAGCAGAAATGACATCCTGAGATTTTTTCACATCACAGTTGTTGCAGGTGCCCATGACTTCTTTCAATGACACGGTCACCCATTTTCTAACCATTTTCTATGGTTTGCTGCTCCTTTCACAACGAAGAAGATGCTAAATTTCAATCAAAGGCTACAACTTTTTTCCCTATGTAAGTCCAGACCCGCAAATCCTGTCTAGGGAAATGGAGGATGCTCTCCCTTGCCCCACTCCCATCCAGCTACCTGGGGTAAGAACAGGATGGCTGGAGCTGAACCAGCCATTTGGGCTCTAAAGAAAGACAGGATCCTGGACTCTGATGACCATAAGCTACATACCAGCCCAGCCTGCCTACCTCTGGACGGATATCTCTGTTTTGTTAAGGCACAGCTGGCTCATTCTTTACTATATAAAACCACTCGAACCTAACCTTAATTGTTATATCTCTAATACTGTTTCTGGGTGGTGAGATTAGAAACAGTTGGAACCTGATAACTAGCAACTTTCATTCATCTTTGAGAGGAACACACATATAAAAATGATTTTCCCCCAGAGCTACAAAGGAAACCCAACTAAAACAGTTCCTCTGTAGCTGACAGCCTTCCAGGAGGCAAACCCCCAAACCTTGAACAACAGAAGATTTCCCTCTAACTCAGTGCTGCTCGACTCCGGAAGGATGTTCTTGACAGCGTACACAAGCCCAAGCATCATGTGTAAATTGCAGGTCACACTCCAAGTCCATGACCAGGGATACACACACTATGCAAAGTCCACAGTCAGGTAGGAGTGAGTGCAAAGGCGCTGGCATGACGGACAAGCCCAGAAGTCATCCCTGTATTGCTGAGGCAACTCAGAAAGTACTTACTAATCGTCATCGACTCTGGCACCGAGGCAGAAGGTAACAGGCTGCTCAGGGGACTTCCTTGGCCTGGAGAACTGGCTTCCACACTGGGAAAAGGCAGGCAGAAGAAGTTATATACTCGGCCACTTAAAATGCACAACCCACCATTCAAAACCTAAGTGGTGCTAAGTTTATTCAGGTTTGTCAGGTAGAAGGCACAGAAGGTAGCCCTTTGAAATACTCATTATTTGCAATTCCTTATTGACAAATTTACCTGCTCACTAAAATTTACTTGTAATCCCCAAATTAATATTCTCGGTGCTTTCACACTCACCTAGCACATGCACAGCCCCAGATGTGCATGCTCCCAGTGACACCATCAAGGTGACTTCTGCCTTAACTTTCATACTGCAAATGTGTCCTTTGGATGGGTTATTTAGTGGTACATTTTTCACATTTCTTGGTGATTTTGCTATTTAAAATGGCCCCCAAGCATGGTGCTAGAGTACTGTCTGGTGCTCCCAAGCACAAAAAGGCTGGGATATCCATTGTGGGGAAAATACATGTTAGGTGAACTTTTGTTTAAGCATGAGTTACACTGCTGTTGGTCATGAGTTTAATGTCAATAAATAAACAATATATGTCAAATGAGATATCATAAACAAGGTTATGTATGGACAGACTGACAAAAATGTTGCAGCAGAGGCTTGCAGGAACCTAGCCCTGCACTTCCCCCAGAGCGGTGGTTCACTCTCACAGCAGTTTGTAGAACACAGCGACCACAAATAATGAGAACTGACTGCATATTTACAAAAGAATTTACATCATGGAAAAATGACATATCTTCCACATAAACAGCAGGGTCGGAGCATGGTTAAAACACACACACACACACACACACACACACACACACCTGCCACTATGTGAAAAGGGGCCAAAATATCAACCATGAAATAGAGTTGGGAGTTACAAGTGAGTTTTTCATTCAATGCTGCATTTTTCATTTTTTCTAAGATAAATAGCAAAAAGGACTCAGAGTCCTGGATGGGTCCAGGGACACCGATCCTCCCTGACATCACACTACTTGGCACGAGCCCCCAGCCAACAGTGCCATTCTCAGAGAGCAGAGCCTCTCCACAGGGGTGAGACCGCAGCACCACACCTGACGTGGGGCAACAGCGGCTCCCGGCCGGGAGCTCAGGGCATGAGTGCAGACGTGATACCTCTCTGAAACACCAGGGTAAATCGTAAAGAGAGAGGAGGAAAACACAGTAACAGCAGCAAGGATCATATGTAAGAGAGACTTTGCACTGCCACCGACCACCAATGAATTTGGGCAACGCAACAATCTCTGAGATGCTTTAATTTGAAAAAGGAAAGCTGGCATGATACTCACTACTGTACACTAGACTAAACACTTCATAAGTATACGATATTTAAGCAGCTTAAATACTATATAATTACTCAATATTATCCTCAAATATTAAAATTGGTGATCAGTGACAAAGGAGGCACCCATATATGTCTCCAAAGGCATACAAAGTAAAGGTGGTATGCAAATGAAGTTCAACAAATCCTGTTTCTTACAGTCTCTCATGCTCTTTAACCCTTGACAACTTCACACTCTGTGATGTCAAGACTAAACCTGGGCACAAATGAGGCCTTGCTCTTCAATCCTAGCAGGTGCCCTCCTATCTTTAGAAAAGAATAAAATGCTGAATAAAATTCAATCCCAAAGGCAACCTGGTTTCTGAGTACTGACTTGTACCGAGGTCCAGGGTCTGGGAGCACGCGGTCCTCAGGGCCTGTCCCGTTCTCCAGGCTTCCAACGGGGGCATCTGTGAACAGAGAGAAAGTCAGGTTTCTGCTTTCATTTCATTTTCTCCATAAGACAAGGATACAATGCAGACATTGGCTCATCTGCTAAACCAGTTGACTTAGAAATCCTTTCCTCATTGGTACACTGGATTTTTATCTGCTACCAGTTTCATTTTTTTGGCCACAATCTCAGATTTTCACCAGTCATGGATAAAAGGTCCTAACCTTTTTTACTTAGCCACCTAGAATTATCCATGAAGTCCACAATCACAGCCAACCTCAGAATCAGAGAAAAATCAGCTGTTAGACAAAACAGCTCCTGCCCGTAGTGGCTCAGGATGGACAGGAGAGGGCAGCACAGTCTAATTGCTGACTGTGTCTGCTCAGGTCAAAACAAAGCAACTGCCTATTTCTAAAAAGCCACTTGCCTGCATTCAGTGCCATGTGGGAAAGGCATCTGGAAGAAGTGAGGCCACATATAGTCTCCAGAAACAGTACGCAAGCGACACTATAGATTTTCATAAATGTAACAGCTGCTGTTTCCTTCCAGGAAAAGGTACAAATCTTATTATATGCCATAGGCTAGATGGTGACATTAAAGTCAGTTTCACTCACATTTGCTCACAACACTTGGCGAAACTTCTGGCATGTCAATGCCCACCACAGCACCAGGCCTGGGTGGGAACAGGGGACAGAGATGGAAGGGAACGCATCCGGTTTCCCTGAGCCATCCATCACAGCCTCCTGGGTGTCATCCCTTCAGTTTATGCTAGTTTCGTCCTGCTCAGGACTGCCCAGCTTTTAAGGGGTTGAACTAAGAGAACTCTAAAGGAACACGGTTTCTCACATTTTCCTTCATTCCGCTGTCACCATCAAGCTATTCCACTTGCTCCTACCTCTTTCACAAAGTTTGAAGAGGAGAGAGAAAGAGTGTCTGCTTGGCCACCTGCCCTGCTTTGCTCCCTGGTGTTATGGCTCATTTGGGAATGAGGGCTCTGCCTGGGTTCAAGCCTTGCTCCCAACCTTAACTCAGCAAGTTAACTACACTCTTTGTGCCTCAGTTTCCTCATCTGTGAAATGGGATGACACTCCTGCCTACCATACAACATTTAAGTAATGCCTACATATAATAAAATTACGATATGTGTAAAACTCAGTGGGAATACTCAATGAACAAGTGCTAGCATCAGTGTATTCTATAATGGCAGGCCCCCATCTTCCCAGTCAACTGAATTGCACTCAAAGGACCCCAAGGAACACTTCCCTGAGTCCCCCTCCCACCTTCCTGCAGCCCATGATAAGGTCGAACAAGCACTCATCCTTGGAATGCTTTCGCAGGCTTCATAACAATGATCTTCAGTCCTCCTCCCCTACCATTTTTTCCTCTGATTCCCAAGCAAAGGTGTCCCTGACTCACAGCTCTGTGGCCTCTGTCCCAGCAAGGCCTTCGTTGCAGACTTCGCCTCCATGAAGATGACAACTCTCAAGCCCTCACCCCTGGCTAGGAGCTGAACCTTGAGTCCTAGTCCCACGTTTCTAACTGCCCACCAGAAATCTCTACTGGGATGTCCTACAGGGCCTACCAACTGATCGTGATCTTCAAAACCACACCTCTTCTGTTACCACTTCCCACTGGGCTGTAATCTCAGAAAAGAGTGGCATTCACCATCACTCCCATCACAGCACTACGCAGTGCCCAAGACCTACCAGTTCCACCTTGTTATCTCCCACTCCTTGCTTACAAGCCGTTTTCACCCTAGTTCAAAGGCTTGATTCCTCCTAGGACAGGGATGTCAAACTCACTTTCACTGGAGGCCACATTAGCCTTGCAGTTCAAAGGACCAAATATAATTTAAGGACTGTATAAATATAACTACTCCTTAACTAGGGGCAAGGAGCTCTACATTCAGACCTTTGAAGGCAACCTCGAGGCTGATGTGGCCCCCAGTGAAACTGAGTCTGACACCCCTGTCCTAGGGGTCTCCTGCAGCAGGCCACTTGATTCTGCCTTACCCTCTCTAATCTGACTCACATGCAGCTTTCGGACCATGCTCATGAGGCAAAGACGAGAGGACTCCAACACACACGTGGAATCCCTAGCTGGAGTAAAGGCCAATGTCATTCACCAGCACCCCAGACACAATGCTGGCTCGGCCCAAGTGGATTTCCCTTCATAACACAGACCCACGATCAACTGCAGATGTAGTGGGCCTGAGGAACTGGAGCCACAGACTGGTCGGAGACGCAGGCTGCCTCACTCATCCTCAAGGTCCCTTCTGACGGCGGGACTACTATTATCTTAATTTTATAAATGAGGAAACAGACCTCAAGGATTTCAGTTACTTGTCTAGTATCACACAGCTGAAGTGTGAGGATGTGAACCCACGTCTGCCCAGTGGCAGAGCTGAGTCCTTGCCCACTTTCGTCTCTCTCATTCAGCTGGTCTGAAATATCTGCTGTTCCCGCTATAGGTCCCTGGCACTCCTGTGCCATTCCTTTGTCCACACTGTGTCCCCAACCAGGTATCATTTGCCAACTTCCAGATGCCCACTCCCTACAGCATGCCCACACCCCCTCCTACTGCATCCATCCACTCCCAGCTCAGCAAAGGCTTTCTGAACCCCAGCTGTGGGCCTGGCTCAGGCCAGGGTCACACTTGAATCAAGACAAACATCTTCCCTATTTTCGTGGACCTCAAAAACTAGTGGGAAGTGGGGCATAGGTATTATCAAGTAATTACCCAAATACACCATCACAAACATAATCACAAAAATAGAGAGCAACACGGACACACCAGATTCTCAACAGCATAAAACATGAGGCCTGGCCCGCCTGGGCAGTGGGACACAAGAGCCTGTTCTAAGGCGGCAACACGGCCGTGACCAGAAGGACGTGCTAAGGTAGGGTAAGCAAGGCAGGAGGAGCCTGAGGACTGAAACGACAGCAGGCGTGGTGTAAGGAAGTGGAAGCGCAGCAGTGTGGCTGGGACACTGAGCAAAAGGGAAATGGGAGGAGATGAGGCTGCTGGAGCAAGCTGGGGCCAGGGCAGCCACAGTGAGGATTCTGGATTTTATCCTACAATTATTTTATCCTATCTGGATTTTAGAACAGGGGGATAAGGCAACCTGATTTATGTTCTATAAAAGTACTCTAGCTGCTGAAAGAAGAATGGATGGGGCCGGGGCCAGGAACAGAAGTGAAGAAGGCTGTTGGGAAGCTCCTTTGCTATAGTCCAGGCAAGAGATGGGATGTTAGAACAGGGTGGCGAAAGCATTCACGGTACACACTTCGCCCATTCATGCCTTTCTCCTTTACCTCCGGTGATTCCAATGATGTTCCCTGTCTCCTTTTCACTACAAAACTCCAGGAGGGACTAACCTTTGGATGCCCAGAGCCTGGAACAGTGCTGATGCAAAACAGCATCACCCACTAAATGAGCAAAGAAACCCAGGAGTCCCAAGTAGCACATGACCTACATAATGGGGGGTAGAAACCACGCAATACAGGCCCTGCAGCCACTAGTTTCCTGACATTCCAAACAGTAAAATTAGTTCCTGGGAGCAAAGCTCTCAAATCAACCATCTCAGGTTAAAACAATGCTACCACAGACCCTCCCCACCCTGGACGAGCAACTCCTGAGACCTGATGTCAGGGCAAGAAGCTGAAGACCATACAACCGGAGAGGCGGAGCTGAGGGCCTGAGGTTTCTAATGAACTGCACCCACCGGAAATTGGCTCTGCACTTGCTCAGTCCAACAGTAAAAGCACACCCCACAGTGAGGGCTGGGCAGCACAGGTTTCCCATGTGCAGGGAGTAGTCACAGGTGCTTTGTTTGCCCCACTGGTCATTCTCAGGTGAAAAGAACTTTGGGGCGCTCTTTCCCTTCCAGCCTCAAAGAAACATAAGTAGATCAAGATGCTTTGCTCTGTTGCAGGTAATATACATGCCCTAGGAATGACAGCATGTCCAATCCTTCACCTGCTTCTCAGGGACTCATGTGACCCTGGCCCAGCATCTCCCTTAGCTGAGCCCCCACCCCGCCCAACCTAAGAAATTCGGCCCAAAGCACAGCCCTGATACACAGAACCACCTCTTCCAACATTCACAAGGATAATGACTTTGTGTTCAGGGTTCCTTTCTCTGCTGCTTTCTCCCTCCCTAGACTTGGCTACCAAAACATACATCCTTCCCCACTGTGTCCCTCTCCCCACTTTTTATTCTCTTCCCTCCCTCCCTTTCTCTAAATATCCCAAAGGCAGTGACAGCAAAGGCACTAACATTTTCAAAGATGATGGGAAAGTCTCCTAAGTTAGGAGCCTCCTGTGTGCAAAGTCTCCACTAACTACATGTTATGGCTCCCGGGCCTCACTGAGAGAGAACAGGTTAACACGCTCCATTGAAGGGTGTCAATCTCAAGGAACACTAGTCAGAAATGGAGGGAAAGAAAAGGAGTCTGAGAAAAAAGTCTTAGCTGTGCCCAGTGCTGCCCGGGGAGGGTCCCCCTGCAGGCAGGCCCAGCCTGGTACCACCTGGGCCACATGCCTGCCGTGGAAATGGGGCATCAGGCCAGGAGGGACTTGATGCAGTTTGGCATTCCAATCAGGTAACAGATTCCCCCAGCTCTTATGCTAGTGTCTTCATGCAGCCCTAGAGTAATCTTTCTCCCAATGCCATGTTCCTACTGACATTTGCCCCTCAGGCTATCACAAGCTTCCGAGATCCCTGACAGCTTTGTTATTGTCGTAAAATAAAAAGGTGGCAGACTGGCTCCCACCAGCATCTCTGGCAAGGGTAATCAGATAAGCTGGAGCTTGGGCCCCATTAGTGGTGAAAAGATGGAGCCTCTGGGTCTGCGAGGACGACAGCCAGAGGTGGCACTGCGGGAAATCTGCTAGGGGGACGTCTTCTCTTGAGGATCCTCAAGGATCCTGGAAACTGGCCAAAAACTACTTCCCCTGGAGACAATGATCCACAGAAAGCCCAGAGGGAAGAAGACTGCTGGGTTCTATAGGACTAAACCCCAATCTGAATGGCAAACAGCATTTTGGAGCAGCTAGCCATCCTCCCCCAGCATCTGATAGTTAGAGAAGCCCAGTTAAGAGATGAAAAGGCCACCAGAAACAAAACAGACTGTCTAGTGCAGGCACTTAACATCCTAGTAATTTTTCCCAACCCAGCTGAAAGGTCCCTCCACTGGGGAGCAGGACCAGGTGAATGGGAACCTGGACCATGACTTGAAAGCCATGGACAAACCCTAGAAACTCTCCAATGTCCTAGGCTTGCACAGGACCCCCTGCTCTCTGCAAACCCCCACTCCCATCTCAGACATTTTGCCCACATCTGCACTGCCCCTGCATGGGCAGTAGGCAAGGCAACCCAGGGCAGTCCCTTAAGTGCAAGGAGGGAACAATGCCACTGGCCCGCAGACATAAGCAAGGCCTGCCAGACTGCCCACCTCTCTTGGAGATTTCAACTAAGACCCAGAGAGAAGTGCTGGTTGGGATGGAAGGTCACAGGGCTGAGGCAATGGTGGTGGCACCTCAGCCAAGTACAGGACAAAAGGGGAGGGAGTAAAACTGACAAGGGAACAAAGTCAGACCAGCAGATAGGAGATGGAGGCAGATCCCCATGTAGAAGTGTGGGGCACAGAATGAGAAAGACAGCTGGACCTGGCCAGGTCAAGGGTCCTCTCCATTCCAGGCCCAGCTGCCCACAGGATGCCCTGTAACATCACCGTGACAACGTTAGCAGTGAGCTGCACCCTTTCCCACATGAACTTAGGGAATCTTCACCACAAATCTGAGAGGAAGGTGATAACAGAACAACTCCCCCTTCCTCCTAGGCTGTGGTCAAGAATGAATGAATGAGTTTATCCAGTCAGTCACCTTACAGCAGGGGTCCTCAACCTCCAGGCCACGGTACTGGTACTGGTCCAGGCCTGTTAGGAACCAGGCCACATGGCACGAGGTGAGCTTGAATGTAATGTGCTTGAGTCACCCCCAAAACCATCTGTGCCCCCCACCCCCATCTGTATAAAAACTCTTCCAGGAAACCGGTCCCTGGCGCCAAAAAGGTTGTGAACCACTGCTTCACAGTCTTGGACTCACTTCAAGGGCTTGATAAGTGTTGGCCACATTATCGCTGTCATCTACTTTCCAGAAGAGGAGACCAGCCTGGCGGACGTGAGTCACTTAGCCATGCATGCGCATTAACCTCCAAGTAAACCAGGAATATACTGCTCAAGAGCAGGAGCCTGCTCCAGTTCCCGCAACTTGCTAGAGCTGAGACTGATCTGACCCCCACTCTAAACTGCAGCCAGTCAGCGGCCCCACCCCACTCTTCACACGAGCCAGTTAGAGTGGGTTTCTGTTCCTTGCACAGTGACAAGTACAAGAGTGTGTCATCAGTTCAGAACATCAGCAGCTTCCTGAGCAGTTGGTGAGCCCTTGTTACAGTATCTTAAACCTGGCCCTGGAAAGATAAGAAGGGGACTTGGTGGGTGGGGGTCAGGGAACGAGGCCTCGCTGCCTCGGTGGTGCTGTGGGGAAGTGGCAGGCACTAAGTCAGTGAGGTACGGCACACCCGCTCTTCTGGGCGAGCTGGGCTCCTGTGCATGCCCCCAACCACCACCACTCCCGTGGCCTGCCCCAGCTAGGGAAGATGACAGCAAACCACACACAAGTTGCTCAACAGCAGGGAACAGGTCAGAACTACTTATCCACTCCAGAGGCGGGTTTTAAGCAAGCTACTCCCTGACCCCCAAGCACTTGGCTACAAAGGGTGCCAGGGCCTTTATAGCTATGGGTTCTGTGATCTCCCTTCTCCTAAGAGGCAAAAATAGTGGTCATCATTTGTGGTCAGCTTGTACACGACCAAGTTCAACAATCACTGGCAAGAAAAGAAACAGACTGGTTCCCTGGTGACGTGCCAGCTCATTTCTGCCCAGCATTCACTCAGGTGAGAGTACCTCAAAATACCCAGCTCCACAAGAAGGGAAACCAAACCCTCGGTCACCCTGAATCTCAACAACAGGCCCTCTGGCTCTGAGGCCCAGGCTTCCTTGTTCCCACTCCCACCAGCAGAGGTGACCCAGACACTCCTGCAGGTCCTAGAGCCAAAGCTCGTACTGGAGGAAAAGAGCAGTCAGAAAACACCCACCTGCAGGGCTGAAGGAGCCCATTCCGCTGACCGGAAAGAGGACATCGGTGTCACCGTGCAGCACCTGCAGTGGAGCCCAGCTGTGCCTCTGGGAGAGGCAGGTGTTCCCGTCCAGTGGCCTATGGTGAAAGAATACAGCTGTGTGAAAGGGCAAAGGGCCCCAGTGGGCTCAGATCACCACAAGCAACTGCTGGGCCTCCCACAAGTTCTTTCTTGGAAACTAACCAGGCCATGAAGGGGCTGGGTATAGAAGGAAATGCAGGCAGGAGGCAGGAGGATGGGGTCCGGAGCCAGACCCCTGGCACTTGTTCTTTCAGCTACTGTTTACTGAGTACCTACTACATGCCAGGCGGTGTGCAGCGCGTATATTTTGTGCTGGCAAAAGAGCCAGCACACGGTGTTTATCCTACATTCACAGAGCTTACAGTCTGTTGGAGACACACACATGAATCAAATAATCCCACTAGAAGGTATAAAATTGCAGCTCAGCTTTGTGGTTGGTCAGGAAGGTCATGGAAGTCTTCCTGGAAGAGGGAAAGTCTGGGGCAAGAGCTGAAGGAAGCACAAGAGTTACCTGAGTGAAGAGGTGGGACAAGAGGGTCGGAGGGGGAGGGAACAGCATGTGCACTGTGCTGAAGGAAAAAGCATGGTGTGTTCCAGGGTCTGAAACGATGGCAGTCACATGACCCTGGGCTGGCATCACTTGGCCTGACTGGTTCTCAAACCCTCTCGGGTAAAAGAACAGAATCAGACCAGATCACGTCTGGGTCCCTTCCAAGAAAGGAAGTCAGCTTAAATATTAACCAGGCTCAAGTGATCTGTTATACTGTCACCATATCCACTAAGTATAAAATGAACCTGTATGAGCTTTGTAATTAATACCAGGCTACCTCACTTACATTTGAGAAAGTATTGGCCCACAGCAGCATTTGCCTCTGGGCAATTAGAAAACACTAATAAATACCAAGATGTATTTGTGTAGTACTTTAAAGACTACAAAATCACTTTGTAACTCAGTTGTAAAGAACAAATCACATCATAATCATACCTACTTAATAGAGGAAGGGAGGGAGGAGGAGAAGGAGGGAAAAGGGTGAGGGAAGTACATAGAAAAGGGAGGATAGGAAAGGAGGAAGGAAGGGAAAGAGGGGGGAAAACTCAGAGATTCTGGGACTTGTCCAAGATAGTCAGCCTTGAGGACAGACCAGGGCTTGTGGAGGGTCAAGCACTGGTCTCCCACATCAGATTACAATGGGTCTCCTGGCTACTGTCTACCATGACATGATGCAGAGTTTTTCTTTCTGTCTTTAGAGCAGGAATCAACCAATTTTTTTGTAAAAAACCAGATTGCAAATATTTTAGGCTTTGTGGCCATACCTATTTTTCTTTGGGTTTTTTGTTTGTTTTTTAACAGCCAACCATTCCTAGCTTGACGGGGATTTGGCCCGCAGGTGTAGTTGGCTGCCTCCTTTGTCAGACACCATTATGCAGACATTCCGTTCTCAGCCCTCCCCAGCTTTTGGTCATACATCTGGCACAGACCAAAAGTCCACAGAATTTTGCACAATGTTTCATTTAATCCTGCAGGTAACACACACAATGGGACTCTCAGATGGCACTCTAGGGTGCAAAAGAGGAAGCCCAGTTCTCAGATGAACTTGGCTGTGCCCTAGAATCTGTACAGACCCGCTCTCGCAGGGCTCCAATTCCACAGCTGGTGACAGGGGCAGTCAGGGCACCCTCAGGAGAAGGCAGCCAAACCACCAGTCCTTCCCTCACCACTGCACTCACTCCATGGGGGTGGGATTTTCTGCCGTCTCAGAGGGGAAACCCTGCCACTTTCCAGCAACATATGCAGGGTGCCAGGTGAAGCCAGGCCCCAGCAGCTGGGGGTGGGAGGCCAAGTAAAAGTGGCCAATGGCCACCACCTCTAAAGTTAAGCCACACTGAAGTGACTCCTGAGGCAGACAGCAATTCAGAATATGGTGCCCACCTTGGCTTAAAAACATAATAGCACCTGTTGCTTTTCATTAGAAAAGTGAAACACGTTTAAAAAACCATGAAAATGTAAAAAAAAAAAAGGAGGGAAAAAATATACACCCAAAGCCACATTATTCAAAGCACAATTGATTTAGACACTATTTCCTTAGTGTCTTTTTCTTTTCTTTCTTATACATACTTTTCTTTACAAGGTCATAATGAAACTAAATGTAGAATTTTATATTTGGCTTTTTTCATTCCATATTAATTCACAAGTTCATCTTCATACTACTTGGATACTCTTAAATTTCATTTAAGAGGTTTAAGATCCTAAACATTATGATGTTAAGGTTTAGCTCTGGCTGGTGTGGCTCAGTGGATTGAGTGCCGGCCTGATAACCAAATGGTTGCCACCTCAATTCCCAGTGGGGGCACATGCGTGGATAGTGGACCAGGTCCCTGGATGGGGGCACATGAGAGGCAACCACACATTGATGTTTCTCTCCATCTCTTTCTCCCTTCCATCCTTCCTCTCTGTAAAAATAAATAAATAAGTAATTCTTTTTTTAAAATGTTATGGTTTAAACGATGGAATAGTCTCTTAACTGTTCCCTTGGGTTGCATATTTAGGTCAGCTCCAATGTTTTGCTTCTCTAAGTAAGGGCCTTGGTATCTAGATGCAGCAGCCCTTTTCCTGGGACTGCCTTCAGGGTAGGTCCCTGGTAGTGTAATTGCTAAATCAAGTAAGATAAGCATTTTTAAGGCTGCTAGCATTGTGTCAAACTGTTTTCCGGGAGCACTGTCAACACTACCAGCTATCTATGAGGATGGCCCTGTGCCTGGCCCTGCCACATCTTTCATCCCACAGTCAATGCCCATTGTGTGCCTAGAAGACACCAAGCCTGAGGACACCCTGAGAACAAGCCACTCCCAGGGCACTAACCCAGGGTTCACCGTTTTTTCCAGTTCTCATTTTAAATCCTGGCAAATATGACAGGTCTATCACAGTATCTGGTTTCACTTTGCATTTGCTTAATTGCCAGTGAGGTGCAACATTTTTCCATATGTTTGCAACTCTTTCTGAAGTACACCCCACTTCCCTATTGGCATCATAGGACATATATGAAATGATAGAAAAACTCTTTTCTATAATAAAGGTATTACCCTCTTTTTTAAAAAAAGACAAAAATCAAAGCCAACACTTGTAAATATTGAAGTAGGAAGGACAAGATTTTCCTCAGTCATCAAAGAAGTGGTTTAATTGCTAGCAAACCGGCAAAAAACCCAACCTTTGGCCAACAGAGCATCTTAAAAAGTGACCACAGCAGTGACAGTGCCAGAGGTCACGGCGGTCCACAGTGTGTGTGCTTCTAGCCTGACCCTCGCAGACCTAGCCAGGCCCGTGAAACTGCTCAAGTTCCGGCCCCTCCAGGCTTCTAGACCTATCATGTGAACATTAGCTTAGAATCAAAATGAAAGTTTTACTCAAGAGGCCACTTCATCTTTCCTCTGCTCCTTTCCCCAAGATGCTCTGCAGAATGTTCACTCGAGACCCCCCCTTATACCAGGAGAGGCTGTCCATAGTCTGCAGGAGGCTCAGTGGCCTCAAAGGGCCAGGCCTCTGTAAAGGTCACCCTGAACTGTTCTGTGTTTCACACATCACAATGCCGGCAGCTACCTTGGCTTGCAAGGTGACCTCCCCTCCATCAATGGCACCAGTCCACTGGGAAAAGAAATGACTGTTTGAGGCCAATAAGAACCCATGAAGTGAATCAAGTTCGAGATGCACTCGCCTACAGAGACATAGAATGCAAGTGGCATTTCCTAAAAGGCCCTGATTAAGACTAAAGGCAAGTGCAATGGTTCACTTTAAGTGTCAACTTGGCTATGCCACAGTACCAGACATATGATCAAATGTTATTCTAGATGTCCCTGGACAGTTATTTTTAGATGAGATTAACATTTAAATCAGTAGACTTTAAGCAAAGCAGACTACTCTCCATAGTTTGGGTGGGCCTCATCCAATCAGTTAAAGGCCTTAATAGAGAAAGACTGAGGTTCCCCAAAGAAGAAATTCTGCCAGCAGACAGCCTTTGCACTCACGCTGCAATTCTTCCTTGGGTCTCGGCCTGCCAGCCCACCCTGCAGATTCTGGACCTGCCAAATTTTCACAACCATATGAGCCAATTTCTTAAAATAAATCTCCAGATAAATACAGAGACACACACACTCTACTGATTCTGCTCCTCTGGAGAACCCTGACTCATACAGCCTATCACAAGACCTGGATCCCAGAAAGAAAAACATTCACAGCCAGTCAGCAAAACAAGCTGCAGGGAAGTGATTTTAACAAGTATTTGAGGAGGGGAAAAAAGCCTTGTACGTGAAAATGTTTATTTCAGAATGCAAAAACAAAGATGCCAACAACCTAAATACTAAGCAATGGGGGAACCTTTAGCAAGTCATGACATATTGATCTGACCGTAAATCAACCAATCAATATCCAGAGGTATATAGAAACATGGAAAATATTCGAGAGTACAGGGTGGGCAAAAGTAGATCTATAGGTGTGAATATGCAAAACAGAGTTTACTCTTGTATTTTTACTTATTAATTATTGTTATTTCCCATACTTACAACTGTAAACCTACTTTGCCCACCCTTGTGTAAGCTATGGAACACAGCATAATTATACCTTAACCCCAGCTTTGCCCAATGTTTTGACAAACCTCAACTCTCTACAAATCCTATTCTTCTATCCATCAAGTGGGGGTGATATCCACCAACCTAAGGATTAGGATAAGGTATATATATACATAGCTTGTAGTATCTGGCATACCCCATACGATCAATAAGATAACACTACTAAGGTAATACAGGTATCTGTATGAATGATGACCAGGGGAACAAAAACAAAAACAGGCATAGTCTCATGAGAAAGAAAAGAAAAACTCCTATTAAAACATTCATTTTCATAAAATGAAAAGCATAGGGCTAAGACACACTGTGCCCCTTAATCATAAAGTGGGATCTCGATATATCTGTTTCACTCTCATGGGCTTGAGACAGGATAGTAAGAAGCTGGGAAAATTGCTTGGCAAGTGAAATAGGGAAACTGAGACAGCTGAACACAATGGCCAAGGAATTTACAGCCAAGTGCAAAGGGTCACCAGGGCAGAAGGCTCCCAGTGCCTGGCAGGAGGCAAAACTAGGAAAACAAGGACCTCACCTCCAAGGTAACCTTTCCTCCCTGGCCTTTCGTCCCTGGAGATGACATCTAGGATGCAGTTGTATCCAGTTCTAGGCCCAGTAAAACAGCAAAACCAGAACCAACTGCAATAACTAAAGACCCCCTGCCCTGTCACTGACCAGTCAGGGGAGACCATGGCCCTGAAAGGGCCCACCTGGAGAACTGGTGAATATTCAGCTAAAACCTCCCCTGAGACCTCCCCTAAGATTCCAGCCAGCAAGAGAGATAAAAGCCTCAAGACAAAGAATCCAGCCCTTCCTTTCTTACCCCCCACCAGCAGCCTCCCCACCATCTCCCCACTTCTTTCTTCACAGGCACATGTCTCCTAAACTCTAAAGAAATTAGCAGCTGGCAGTTTGTCCTGGGCTGATCCCCTTAGCCTCTCTTCCCAAAGCCCCCTTTTCTCTGACTTTCCGGGGAGCTAAGGCAGCCCAGCCTAGGCTCTCTTGTTGCTTCTTCTATGCTAAGCCCTTCCTTGTATCTTAAGTCCCCAGCTTTAATAAATGCATCCTCATAGTCACCTGGACTTGTGTTGTGAAATCTTTCCTACATGAAGTCAATAACCCACGCACTACAGCTGGCCCTAGGCAGACCCACTCAGGGCCAGGCCCCTGTGCAGCAACAGGCTGGCTTTGAAGTCAACCATGATTAGGATGGTATTATGTGCTGTAACGCCTAAGTGAAGAGGTGGTAACTGATTTATTTGGCATAAAGGGCAAAACCAAGCTTAGGAATTATTACAAGAGTACTGTGACAGCAGCAGCTGACCTGTGTTGTCTTTCTCCATGTGCCAGCACTTGTGCAGATGGGCCCACACTTAGTATCCCATCACTTCGTTGAGGTCTGAGACTCTGGAAGGTGAAGTAACTTGTCAGACCTCATCCAACCTAAGCCATGGGGCTAGTAAATGAAGACTCAGGTTGTCTGAATTCCAAATCCAGGCTCTTAGCTACATTTTTTTTTTTTTTTCGCTTTATGCCTTCACATGCATCAAGCCTGTTCCACAGGCATAAATCCACAGCAACTCCAGCATTAAAGCAGCAAGTGGAGGCCAATTACTGCTATTCAACCCCAGCAGATAAACACAGAAATCACTAGCCCATGACTACTTTCTAGAATAACCCTACCTTCCTCCTGAGATTACTCTGCTAAGTGGCAAGTTAAAGATGGGAGGAAAATCTATAAACAAAAGTGAAAGATGTATATATAAAGCAAAAATTTCAAGGCACACATCTTGACACTAATTTTTAACAAGTACCTTCAAATATACTCCCTTCCCCACTCAGTTCTCAGTAAGCTAATAATGCCCCTTCCTCCTAAATAAGACCTGATAAATAAAAGATGCCCTAAATAAATATGAAACTGCACCCTTATTTCACCTAATACTGGAGAATGAGAAAGCAGTTAATGTACCACCCTTCATTAAAATCTCAAGTGGAACTTACTTCTCAGGTGACTCTGAGTGGCTCATGTGCTTCCTTCCCGGCATGTACACATCATCCTCATTTTCATCAACATCCTCATCATCGATGCTTTTTACATCAAGCTTCTGGTACCCAAACTCCCCATTCAAAGACAGTGAATCAATTTTCCATGAGTTGCTGCTCTGACTTCCATTGGAATTAGGCCCAAAGGGGCTTTCAAAGGCTGACATGATATTGACCGAGGAGCGGTCAGAGTTCTCCTCCGAGCTCTCCCCAGTCCCAGGTAACTTTTTAAAACCATCACCAGCATTCTGCTCATCGTCCTCATTATCAAATGAGATAATGTTGGTCACCTTCTTTTTCTTCTTCCGTTCCTTTTTACATTTGGCATCTGACAAAAGACAAGATATGGTATAAGAAATGGTAAGCAAGATAAGGGGATGATCCAACCATCCTGTAGAAAATCCTCTACTACTCCACTGACAAATAAATTGTAAGCTAAAGTCAGATATTTTTTAAATCCTTAGTAAAACATCTGTTTACAGGGGACTAAGCAAAAAATGGACCTCTACTTCTGATTTAAACAATTTTTAGATATATCTCCTTAAGCAAAGGAAACAAAAGAAAAAATAAATAAAAGAACACATTAAAACTGAAACATTTTTGCACAGTGAAGAAAACCATTATCAAAACAAGAAGACAATCTACTGAATGGGAGAAGATACGCACCAATGATATATCTGATGAGGGATTAATATTCAAAATATATAACGAACTCATCATACAACTTAACACCAAAGACCAAATAATCAAATTAAAAATTGAACAGAGGGCCTGAATAGACCTTTCTCCAAAGAGGGTGACAGATGGCCAATAAACATATGAAAAGATGTTCAACATCACTAATCATCAGGGAAATGCAAATAAGAATTACACTGAGATAACATTTCACAACTGTCAGAATGCCTGTCATCAACAAAAAATAAACAAGTGCTGACTAGGATGTGGAGAAAAGGGAACCGTGATACCCTATTGGTGGGATTATAAACTGGTGCAGCCACTGTGGAAAACAGTATGGAGTTACCTCAAAAATTTAAAAATATAACTACCATATGACCCAGCAATTCCACTTCTGGGTATTCAGCTGAAAAAAATCCAAAATACAAATTCAAAAAGATACATGCACCCCTATGTTCACTGCAACATTATTTATAATAGCCAAGATATGGAAACAACCTAAATGTCCATCAAGAGGCAAATGAATAAAAATTACGCAGTACATATATACAATGGAACATTACTCAGCCATAAAAAAAGAATGAAACTTGACCATTTGTGACAATATGGATGGACCTAGAGGGTATGATGCCAAGTGAAATAAGTCAGACAGAGGAAGACAAATACCATACGGTTTCACTTATATGTGAAATCTAAAAAATAAAACAAAAAAAACTAACAAACAAAACAGAAGCAGACTCATAGAGAACAAATTGTCAGTTGTCAGAAAGGAGAAAGGTGAGAGGATAGTTGAAAATAGTGAAAGGGATTAATAAGTACAAATTGGCACTTACAAAATAGTCAGGGGGATGTAAAGTACAGCAGAGGGAATATATTCAATGATATTGTAATAATTATGTTTGGAGCCAGATGGGTACTAGACTTACTGGGGGTGATCACTTCATAAGGTATATAAATGTCTAACTTCTATGTGTATACCTGAAACTAATATAATATTGTATGTCAACTGTAATTGAAAAATAAATTTTAAAAATATACCACAGATCATATGTTCAAATTGTTTCCTCTAAGCTATCCTTCCAAGCACTTTGATTTGAAGAATATTATCATTAATAAAATGATTTTCATTGTTTCACTTGGAAAAATACTCTCATTGTTGGCAGATGAAACCAAGAAAATTTGTTTGGGGTTGTAGTCAATTGTTCGATGACCACAAATTCCTCCCATCCCTGCATAAGCCCCTTTGCAATGGGACTTCACCCTGCCCTTGAGGGAAGTATCCATTTTTCCACCCTCTTGAATCTGGGCTGGCTTAGTGTTCTGCCTTTACGAATGGAATCTAACAGAAATAACAGTGTATGAGTTCTAGAGTTTAGAACTCATCAAGAGGTCTTACAGACTCTTAAAATCCTGCCCTAAAAGTACCATGGAAGAAAACTGATTTAATGTATTGGAGGATGAGAGGCCATGTGTAGAAAACTGAGTTGCCCCAGTCAATAGTCAGTACCAACTCCAGACACACAAGTGGGACCATCTTGGATCTTCCAGCTCAGCCACCAGCTCAATGCAGCCCCATGAGTGAGCCCAGGTAACACCAGCAGAAGAACCATCTCCCAAGCCACAGAATCATAAAAAAATAAATAAATAAATCATGGTTGTTTTAGGCTGCTACATTTTTGGAACTCTTTGTTACACAGCAAAATCAAATGGAAACAGAAGTTAAGACTGTCTTGGTGACCAGTACTTAGACGAGCCAGTTTGTTCACCCATCTTAATCATCAAACTCTTCAAAGTGTAAGAGACACTTTGAATCAATTCCCAAAACTCCATTCCATCGAAACCAAAATATGACGTGCTTCACCAGTGTACTGCAACCCTGAGACAATTTCAAAAGCAGGGTCCCCAAGATGAATGGAAAGACTACTGCTTTGGGTAAACAAATTCAATTGTCTCTGCTACACAAAGCCCTCAACAGTCCTGTTTCCATGTTACTCACATGGGGTCTCTGCTTGAGAAGGAGAGGGCAACAGAGAAAGCCAGTGCATACCAAAGACACCATGAGATTCTGAGTTTTCACCATCATGAATAATCCCCAAAGAGATGACTGAAATTACTGCCTTGTTTAAGGGTTTTGAGAATACTAAGTACTAAACCAAAAATTTCCAATTTTTCTGTAGCAACATTCTGTATGTCCAGAAGGCTCGAGGAATGTTCTAAACACACCACAAAATTAATCTTAATTAATTAATTAATCCCTTTCCCTGGCCTCCACTTAAATGTCTTCCCCCACCAAAAAAGACAAGCCCAATAATAAACACTCTCCACAACATCCTATGCTTGGTTTCTATCCCAATTACCAGAAGGATAATTAACTATTTGTATAATTTGTCATTAAATGTCTACCCTCACCCATCCCAAAGAAGACTGGAAGCCAAATGCTGGTAATCTGTCTCACTTGGCTCACTGACTAGCACACAGAATGCATTAACTGAACAAATGAAAATGGGTGGACAAAAGAATAAATGAATGAAGATCAACCTCATCTGACTTCACGTGGCCATCACACCCTTCCTTCCTTTCAGTTTGCTCCGACTGAGCTCCTTGATCTTTTACCCTATCATCTTCCCATCTAGGTAAGGCTCTCAGATCCCTGTCAGAGTAAGTGTAAAAAATAAATAAACACAAGCGTGAACTGAAACTGCAAATGCAAATCAGATTTCATTCCCCTTGGCACTTCCAGGTGCCACCCTTTGCCCAAACCCCTCGAACTCCTGTTCAGGCTCACCGGCACCGATGTGCTTGGGCATGACGGGCAGGGGGTCGGTCTCCTGTTCAGGTTTGATGAGGATGGAGACAGCAGAGGATGCCGTGATCTCTCTCAATAGGCTGCTCACTCCTTGCGTCGACTCCTTCAGCAAGGAAGTCACATTCTGCGTTGACTCCTTTAAGAGGTCTGAGACAGTAGGAGCAAATTTACTCTGCCCATTTAAATCCTTGTTGTCAATGTTGATCGAGAAGAGTATGGAGTTCAGACCTTGTGCAAAAAATAAGAAGTCCAGAGTGTGTGCTGTTGAACAGAGTCACACCTCCAACAGGATAAGTTGCAGACACTACAGTACACGGGAGGGTACACAATAATCTTTTTTTTAAGATTTTATTTATTTTTAGAGAGAGGAGAAGGGAAGGAGAAAGACAGGTAGAGAAACAGTAATGTGTGGTTGCCTCTCACATGCCCCCTTCCGGGGACCTGGCCTTGCGACCCAGGCCTGTGCCCTGGCTGGAAATCAAATAGGTGACCCTTTCATTTGCAGGCCAGCACTCAATCCACTGAGTCATACCAGCCAGGGATGATCTTAAACATTGATTAATACGTCCCAGAAGTATGGTCAGTACACACCAGCAATCATAGGAGCTCCATCATTCCAAATTCTCTCCCTATCTGTTAAGAGAGAGGTTAAACCATAAATTCAGAGGTTAAACCATAAATTACAAGCTATGAGACCTTGGTCAAGCCATTTATAACCTCTCTGAGCTTTAGTGTCTTTGTCTGTAAAATAGGGACACAGTATCTCTTTTACAGGGTAAGTATTAAAAGACCATCACCCACCAAAAACACAGTTCAGTAAGCAATCACAAAAGGTACACCAATGTCACTACTATTACCCATGGAAAAACTTGCAATGGTATCCAATGGCCAACAGAGGAAATCATAGTTGAACCCTGACTTTCATCAATGAACTAGACTAATTAACTCTCAATATATGGGACTTGGTGTAAACTTTCAGGAAAGGAAAAAAAAAGGAGACAACAAAGGATCTGAAAGAAAGCAGCAAGTGGCCCACTTCTGTCAGAGCGTTTCTTCCTTTGAATGATGATAAACAATTTAACAATTTACCAACTGACATCATTCCAGGGCTTGCATGTTGGCAACCAGTGCACATGACTCTCCATCACATTGGACTCTCTCGCAGCCCAATAAAGGTGATCGCCATGCCATCAGGATTCCTACCTCACAGAGGAGGAAAGGCAAGGTGACAAAGCTCACAGGGTCTGTCCTAGGTCACCAGCCAGTAAAGGGTCGAGTCAGGCCTCAAAGGCAAGTCTCCTGCTTCCAGTTCCCTGGGTCTTTAAATTACACTTGCAAAGCCACAGCCAAAAACCTTCATCCTCGTGCTTTTCCTGCCGAGGTATCAATCTCTGGATAAATGGACTCAATGCTCATTGCCATTCAAGGAAGGACAGTTGCAAGTAACTCATTAAGTTACTGGGGGACAGGGAAAATTATAGCATCCCTTGGAGTTATAAATTCACTCCCAAGCAGCCTCCTCTGCTCACCAAGCTTCACAGGACCCATCATTCCCAGCCTTGCCCAGGCTTACCAGCTGCCATGGTAGGAAGCATGCTAGACCTTTCTTCATCCATCACAAAAGACCAGTCTTCATAAAAAGTGCTGCAAATTGAAAGAGAAAGGGAAAAGGCTCTGAATAGTGGTTCTCTGAGTCCATTAGGCAGACAATTCCATTATATGGCTTCCTAGAAAACCCATACAGGGTCATCACAGACTGAGTACAGGTGGTCTCTGCTGAGCTGAAGCTTCTAGTTATAAACTAAGGATTGACTGCATATATCCTATGACTTCCTCGTTAGTCCCCAGAGATTTTTAGAGTCCCGTGAGCTTGAGAGTACTGAAATAGGCATGAGATATAAATGTGTTGTTGATGAAGCAGCAAAGCAGAAGAGGACAAACAGAGAGGCAACTTCCACTCAAGCAAGGTCTCCAAAAGACAGACAGGATGTCCACGGTTGCACACAGGTCCCCCTCGATTGAGCTAACACAAGAAGAGAACATTTCAGGAGGAAATTGTAGAGCTCCATGGCTCCATCAACCAAGGTATTTGTATGTAATACCTGCTTGGGCTATAAACCCAAAAGCCCAAGTTATCTTGGGAAGGGCTGGGAAGCTAAGAAAGCCCCACAAATCTAAGTGAAGGGGAGGGGCCAGAGAAGCCTACAGGGTCTGTCCAAGGTCAGCCAGCATTAAATGAAGCTCAAAAGCAGGTGTCCAAGTCCAATTCCCCAGCTCTTTATCCAGTCCCCTGCTGAGCAGTAACAAGCAAATAACCTCAACCCCGCCAGGTCAGAGAACTCAAAACATGTGGAGTCAAAGTTAAGTTTCACTAAAGCACAGTTAGTGGTGAGTGACCTGTAGCTCAGCAGGAGACTGGACACAGCTGCTGAAGTGAATGAATACAACTAACAGAAAGAGAGAAGAGATGCATCGTTTTCAATATGCCCACTCCACAGAATGCCAAGAGAAGCACAAGTCCCATGTCCACTCTGGCACTGCAAGACAACCTCTAATGTGCTGGGGACTGCCCTGCCTGATATCAAGAAGCTGTAACCCCCGTGACTTAGGCTAAGTGAAAGACCTCCAGACCAGAAGCCACTAAGGAGACAAAACTTATTTCCCTGGCACGATCGGCAGCCAATGACAGGTAACAATTCTCTAAGAAAGAGAATGAACTTAAGACAGACGCGATCATGTGGGAATGTCCTAAGGAAAGAGATCTGGGGCTGTGGATATGAAGGGGTGATAAACATTAATCCCTGCCCCCTCAGCTTTGTCAAAGCCTGAGTCTTTGTTCTTAGATGTGAGAAATCCAAGTCTCCTGGCTGCCTCTGTCTCCTGCCCTTCTCAGGCTGCCAGAAATTAGCAGGGGCGGTGCAGCCCAGACCAGAAACAGAAGACCCCCGGCATAATCAGGCCTGGGACATAGAATATGCAAAATCCTGTGAGATCTGTTTGCTGGAGGATGTTATTAGATTAGAATTTGAAGGCACAGACAGGAAACCAAAGCTGCCCTTTGAGCCCTGTTAGATAAAACCCCAATCTCTGCCCAGAATCACAGCGGGGGTTCTGTCTACACCTTTGTAAGTCACCTACTTCTTTTGATCTTTTCTGCCAGACTGTGAATCCACAAACTAAGTCTGTATTCACAATAAAAATCTGCTTGGGAATAGATATGGTGCGCTCTCCACTAGAGAGAGTGGCCATGGCACTCTCCCCACTAGAGAAAGTGGCCCTTCTGTTCCTATTTCCCCACAGGACCTGGTTGTCTCTGTGTATGTTTTTTTCTTGTATTTCGACGAGCATCTGCAGCCAAGATGGATACTGCTGGCCAGCATCCATCACACTGATGCCCAAAATTTTGATTCTTTAAAAATCTGAATCAGTTTTCCTGCATGTAAATGAATTAGGTTTTCCCACATCTAGGTAAATAAGTGACTAGTGATTTATGGAAATTCAACTGTGATCCTTCAACTGGACTCAACTGTAAAATTCAGCTGGATTTACTTCAACTGCTGATTGTTAAATTCCTTTGATGTTGAGCGTGCAACTCTGAGCTGCTTGCAAATGATGTGGTGGGGAGGGCTTGACGGAAGTTCATTTTTAGGAACATGAATGTGTTCTCATAACTAAAGCTGGTTAATGCTCCGTAGGTATGTATAGACATCTGGACCAGACCCGGGGCAGCACACAGGTGCAGGTGGCACCAGTCGTCCTGGCCCCATCCCTTCCATTTTGGACCCACAGAGTTGAGCATACAACTGTACAAAGCATCATAGGCAACATCCATGGGAGAACTTCAAGGGTAAGAGCCCTAGCACACAATCCCGGAATGCCTATCAAAGTATCAGTAGAGAAGTGATCATAAGGGGCAAAAGAAACAGGAAGAGATTTGAGTCAGAGAACGCAGGGCAAGATACGAAATCACAGGAATGTATCACAGCACTAATGAAATGCCAGCTTCTTAAAGTAAATGAAATTTCACTGTTGAGGACATGGGCACTGCTGGTGTGGAGGTTATTCAAGGAAGGAGGTTGTCAGGTGATACAAAACTACACATCTGGTCCACCATTCTCAGAGGTAAAATAATAGCCAAAGTCAGAGAGAGAGACTGGGGGAGAGAGAGAAACATCATAAACATCGTGAATACAGGAAAAATGACAGGATTGTCCATGTTTTGAAGAAGATGTGGCTAGCTGTACTATCATTGATGCATGTTCAGTGCCTTCTCCCCTTCACTGCGGTAGTAATCATATCTCCCCACCCTGCTGAGCTTGCCTGTGGCCATGTGACTTGCTGGCCAGTGAAATGTGAATGGAGGTGAAACGTCACTTTGGGCAGAAGCTTTAAGAGCTAGTGCTTAGTTCAACCATTATCTCCATAGAAATGGAGCTTCCATCAGCCTGGGTCCCTGGAACAAGAATCCCTACTTACCCATGATAGACATGAAGCAGAGAAAAGACACAAACTTGCCTGTGTCAAGCCACTGTGATTTTGATAATGTTTGTTATGGCAGCAAAACCTGGCCTATGCTACCTGACAGAGTGAACCTTACGATCAAGAAAAACATAAAACATAATAAAATGGGGAGGGGATGTTTATTAATAACAAATGACTTCTCTCCCTAACTTAAAACGTATGTACACTTTCAGTCAGTTTGGTATTCATTAATATTAACCTCAAAAAAAATAGCAGAAAGAGTTGTAAAGACAAAACATGAAATTGAGCACTAAACATCCAACATCTAAAGGGAAAGAAATTCTGAACCTGAAAGAAGACCAAATTAAAATTCCATGGTGTGAAGACCCAGCTGTGTCCTGTGACAATGGCTCTCTCCATACCCCCAGTCTTAATAATAGTGAGCATTTATTGAGTGCTTGCTAATGCAGGTGCTATGCTGAGCCCTTTACAGGCCTTCTCTCATTTAATAAACTGGGGTTGTGAGAGGGGAACCCAGTTGCCCTAGATGTGGGAACTGGGTGCAAATCCAAGCATCTGACTCCAGATTCTGTGATTTTAACTACTCGCCAACATCAACCCCCCCCCCCCCCACACACACACACAAGCCCAGTCATGTACCTGAGCCTGCTGCGGTCAGCCAGGAGCATGTGCAGGTAGCGCTCTAGTGAGTGTTCATTGAGGGCACAGCGCAGCCAGGCCCGGCCACGGCCCACGTCCAGGGTGATGTGACGCAGGGAATAGAAGCGCTGCAGCTCGTGCTTGCTGAGGACCTCCTTCACGTAGAACCAGAACACGGGCTCTGCAGAGACAGTGGAACAAGTGCTATGGCACTCAGCCTGGGGCACATACACTTTTAGAGTAACATTCCCTGGGCATCACTGAGGACTGTAAATGAGTTACTTCCTTGGCACAGAAAAGGAAGATATCAAAGAGATTACTCAAAATAAAAATGAGCCCCAAATCCACCACTCAGAGATGGCCACTGTTTGCATTTTCAAGTACTTCCTTGCAGTCCTTTTTCCTGTGCTTTTCTTTTTTTATATAAAATCAATATCCATGATAGGTGGATTATAACCCCAAAGATAGTCAGGTCTTAATCGATAGAACATGTGAATATTAGTTTAGATGGCAAAAGATACTATGCATGTATGATTCAATTAAGTATCTTGAGAATGAGAGTTAATGATTATTCTACGTAGTCTTCATGGGCCTTGATCATCTCAAGTACCTTTACAAGAGGGAGGCAGAGGGAGACTGGACACAGAAGAAGAGAAGGTGATGTTGTTATCAGTGGAAAATGAGTTCTTGCAGGATCATTTGGAAAAGGATTTCCTAAGACCCAAATAGGAGGATGGGGATCTGTGTTATAATTTACTAATGATGTAAAATTAAGGTAGTTCCCCTCCTGAATTTCCAATGTCCTATCTCTACCTCATCACGGCCAAGTTCCAATCTTATCTTCAGCAAGGCCAAACCAAAAGCCAGTGTCCAGAGTTTGTGCTCCATATCATAGTCCAGTCCAACCCAGCATCAACTAGCACAGAGTGTCTGTTCAGCTGCAGTTCATTGCTGTGCTGTGGTATGCAGACTCCCTCCAGGAGCCTGTGTGTGGAAGGTGCATGGCCACGGGCCACATAGCCACTAAGGCCTCATGACTATGGAGAGAAGACACATGAGTGCATGGGGAGAACACAGGTCATCTAGATGACAGCTTAGGTTTGGGATGGACCAGGTGTCTTTTCAAAAGGATCACTCCACTTCCCAAACTCTCATGGGCTTTGGATGGGTTTGCACCCTGAGTTAGACTGACAGGCCTCTTTGGCCAATCACCTCCCCCTGTGCCCCCAACAACCTGGTACTCGAGGGGGAAGGGAGGAGTATTAAACCCCTTAGTGGAACAATGTTGTAATCCCCTGGAGTATGAAGCTGTAGCTTCCTGGTGAAGCAAACAGGTTCATGCTCCCCAGTTTATTAAGTTCAATATCTAGTTCCCTTTGCTACCCTTTTCTTTTTTAAATAATTAACTAAGTACCAACAGTAACAATGTAACCAGGGAAGCAGAGACTGGAGTGATGGAGCCAGCTAGCCAAGGAATGCCAGAAGCTGCCAAAGCTAAGAGGCAAGGAACAGATTCCACCCTGGTCCCTCCAAAAGGAACCAGCCCTCCTGCCACCTTGACTTCAGTCTGGTGGAACCGACTTTAAACCCAGCTCTCCACAAGTATAAGAAGAGGGATTTGTGTTGTTTTCGGCCATTAAGTTTGTGGCAATTTGTTATAGCAAGTAATTTGTTGGGAGAAACTAATACACCATAAATGTTGTGTGTGTTGTATATGTGTATATATTATACACATGCATATATATAAATATATATACACACATACAATTTTGTACTCTGGTTTGTTTCTTCCCTTCCATATCATGAACATTTTCCCATAACATTTAAAGATCTTTGGAAACATGGCTTCCCTGTTAATTTAACTATTGCTCTACAGCTAGGAATATGATATATTGCTACTTTTCTCTACATACTGCTTTGAACATCCTTGTACATAACTAACTGTCCTCATTTCTAATTGCTTAGGAGAGATTTCCATAGGTCTGAGAATACGAACAGATTTAAGGATTTAAGGGAAAGCTAATAAAGTTTGCTTTTCTCCATAAAATAGTCTTTGCACATCCCCTTTTTTACCCATATCTGCACAGATTTTTTCTAGCTGTAATTCTGGTGTATACCTAATTTTGTGATCAGTTTTCTTTACTTAACATCAACACTTTTTCTTGCTGCCAGTGATAGTAACAATAGCAACAGCCAGTACTATTTATTAAGCATTACTACATACCAGTTATTGCACTAAACACTTTACATCTGACTTCAGTCCTCACAACCACCAAGGTCATCTCCATGTCAAAGACAAGGTCCAAGGCCTGGACAAGTGAAATAACTCACGTAGCAATGCTCAGTCAGTAAGCAATACAGCAAAATGGGATCCCAGAGCTGTTGACCTGTAAACCACAAAATCACCCTGCCTTGCAAAGCAAGAAGGGCATCTAAATTCTTTAAAATGATCATGTTCACAAATGCTTAATATCCTAAAGGAGAAAATGCTGAGTCTGCTGCCAGACAGGGATTCTAATCCAGGGGCTAAACAGACACACAGATCCCTCTGAAAATGTGACAAGATCTTTGAACCGTCCCCCCAGAAGGACACACATATATACATCTCCATAAACCAGATGCCAGGTTAATAAGCTCACTTCAATATTTCAGCTCATCTAGCCTTCTAAATGGGAGCCATGAACTGGGCGCCACTATGGGCTACCAGGCAGAGACTAGAAGGACTCATCCATAACAAGCTCCTAGACCAGTGGGCAAGACAACAGGTGAAGAGATTGTTCATTGGCATGACCTTAACCAAATCACTCAGCCATGCTAAGCTTTGGACTGCTCTCCCTTAGCAAAAGCCTCAAAGTACTGAATCACCTGGGTTACTGGTGTAACTGGAGAAAAGGAGGGTAAAGCGCTGGGCATGATGCCTAGTCCATGATGACTAACCATTGTTTACTTAATAATTACCTTCTTATATGAGAGCATTTGTATTGCTTACTCTCTTCCTTTTTCTGTTAACAGCGTCTAAATGTCTATATACTGATAAGTGTGCATACATATGTGTGGATCATGCCAATCTCTGGCATGATTTACAATAAACGTCCCAAGAATAACTGAGAAAACCAGCAACAAAGCAGTTGACTCAGAACAACCTTCCCAAACCCAAACTGCACAAGGATAGTAACAGCCTTCTTTCCACTCAAAGCCTCTCTCAGAAGCAGAACATGGGGAATTGGTGAGAGCAATACTCTAGTGGGCCGGCCCACAAACCTGTTTTGAAACACACCAGACAACATCTGGACTCTCATCTGTAATCTCTGTTTCCTGAAAACTGCAGTCACCTCTCTCTGACCTTGAATGCACATAAACACTTTAAGATGTGTTTTCACCTTTCAATTTCCCAAATTGCTTACCACTACTGAATCCTTCTAGAGCTTGCCAGAGCAATGCTGATGATGATAAGAATTATCCCAGCAGGGCTCCGCTTCCACTGCCAGAATTAATGTGATCTATTTAAAGTGCAGCTCACCTGCCACTTAATACTTGCTGTGTCCATAATTTAATTTGGAAATATACACCGATCTCTTACTGCTTTGAAGCAAGGGGCTAATTCCAAAAGTGGGTGAGGGCTTCTGGCTCTCCCAACTTCTGAAAGCCATCTGCTAACCAGAACAAAAGCCAGGACGGGGGTTACTGAGGCAAGCAACCTGGGAGCCACTCATTAACAGAAGATAACTAATAAATAACACAGAGTCTTTGGCAAAGTTTCTAACAGGCATCAACTTTAAGTGATGCCAAGAATTCAAGAATTCATGCTTTGGAGACCAAAGAAGAGCATAACTTTGACTCAGATTCTAGTTCATATTGTGTGGCTTTGGGCTACTTATTTTGTTCTTCATCTTCCTCATCTATAAAATGGGGTTCTATGAGGAGAAAAGGAAACGAGAAAATAAAGCACACATGAAAGGAGCTGAGTGCCAAGGCACCAAGGCAGGCACACAACACCCCAGAAGAAAACCCTTTCTTCTATTGTAAAAGCAGCACCCTCCTTTCCTAGGGGAACTGTGTTCTCTTAGAAGTTGCCTCCCGCACTCCCAACCTTCCCTTCCTTACCTGGGTGGGCAGGTAACTTAGGCTGGGCAATCACCTGGTGACAGCAGACTTGAAGCACTCCACAAGCCCCACCCTCATTTTAGCTGTTTGATATTTTGCGCATATGGGTATTAGTCTTGATTTTTTTGAAATATTGCATGAAAATATTATTTTCCTTGATTGCTGAGTTTATAGTACTCCTGTTAGCATAGGTAGCTAGTTAGTTAAGGGAGGGAACAAAGGGAATTGAACATTAAGTCTAAGTCATTAGGAAGTGACATCATTCGGAGACTCACCAGGAGTCAGCCAAATCCTATCTCTGCTGGGTGGACTTAATCCCTGGGCGGGCAGGAAGAATCTCCCCAGGGGACACTCAGTCGCGTGTTTATCTGGGGAAGAGTGGGAGAAATTCCTTTGCTAGGTGCATGCACAGTAGAAACCAAGATGACAAAGCAGAACTTGGAGGCATGCACAATAGGAGCCAAAATGGTGGCATAAAGGGGCAGAGCCTAGCCTGGACAACCTGGGGAAAAGACTGGATTGGTTAGGGGAAATAACCCAGCACAAGTCCATGAAGGACTAGGAAAGAGACTGGTTAGTTTGAAAGAAAGCCTGCTCTCTCCCAAGCCCACGGTAAATACAATCAAAGCTCATCAAAGGCCTCTTGGCAGCAGCTGCACAGCTCCAAGCCCAGGCCTGGGTGCAGCAGCACAGTGCCAGCCGAGCATAGTCGAGAGCAGGCACTATGCTGGACTACCAGAGTCCTGGGCAGCGACATCACAGTTCTGGATCCTGGCCCTCCTGGTGGGCACTTATGCTCACCAGGCAGGCCCACGACTTATTCCACAGCAAAACAGAGCTAAGCCACCTGGTCCTGGGTGTGACACCAAGCACCTCAGGACAGTCCTTGGTTTTTACTCCAATAAATCTTACCACTACACCTCATCCTCCTATGTGTGAGTCCCCAAAATGCTTTACTCATGACTCTGTGGAAGAACCTTATTTCCACCAGCAACATTCCCATAAATTTTGTGGCTGAAGTGAGTGCCTCACCAGCCTCATCCCAGTCCCAGCCCTGGACCACAGGGTCCTCCCCTC